GAAACTGGCGCTCATTTTGGTAAAGATCTCTCGCCATGATGCCCCATAAGTTTTCAATGGGGTTGAGATCAGGACTAAGCGCCGGCCACGGCAAACAGAGTAATATTCTGCTCTATAGGAACCACATGTTTGCTGATTTTGAGGTGTGAATCAAAGCATTGTCTTGTTGGAAAACATATGATCCCTCATGTTTCTCATTGGCAAAAGGAAAAAGTTGGCAAAACAGCGTGTGCTTGTAGCCTCCCATGTAAAATAGCTAGAGTTGATTTCCCTTTCGGCTAAACGCCCTCCAAACCATGACCGAACCACCACAAGATTGCCGCTTGGAAAAGAATTCAGGCTCACGGTCCAGTGGTGCCAATAGCATTGCCATCTATCTGGACCATAAAGATTGAACTTTTTAAATCACTGAAGATAATTTTGTGCCATCCCTTTACCAATAAGCAAATATTCTTCAGCAAATTTTTGTCGGTTGATAATATGCTTTTGTTGGAGCACAGGGGCATTTTTCCTCGTCATGTATTTGAATTTCTTCGAGTCATGCAATATCTAACGGATGCGTCGTGCTGTCACATCAACTCCAGTGGCCAATTTTATAGAAGTAGAGGTAGCGCAAGTTTAAGAAGCCTCAGAAAACAGTCTCCTAAGATCCCTGTTGGTTAATTTTGGTGTTGGTCCAGTGCGCTTTTTTCACCCGTAGCCGTCCGGATTAGCAAAAAATGATTGTGCAATGGGTTTTGAGCATTTTATTCCCATTTCGATGTCCCGTTGGCTTCTACTGCATTTCACAAAGCCGAAAATCTGCGCCTTCTCGGCCTCAGTGAGTCTTGTTCCATTTGGTATATATTTTACTTCGAAAAAATATAAGTGAGGACACTGAACTACACCAGAAGTACACCAGAAAGGCCCTAAATGACGAAAATCAAGATATTCTTTATATTGCTGTACTTTTTAAAGTGAAAATATTGCAGAAAGATACCAAAATTGAGAAAAACCTATCCTGGTCTTATAACCATTTCCCCCTGGGTTTTTCTAATTTTCATAATTTAATCTCATATATTTTGAGAAAATTATTTTTTTCGCATTGCGTTGGAACCGTTTTTAAACGTATTTTAACCTCGTATAATAAGAATCTTATAATTTTTTGTGCAAGAAAAAATATTTGGAGAAAACAGGGTGGTCGTATAGCCATTTCCGGCACTGTATTCTAAACACCGAGTTGTAATTTCTTCATTTTCTGAGTTCAAGAAATTATTGCCATTTTCATAGTAGAGTTCAACTTCTGAGGTACGGGCGACAGAATTTGGGTAATTGATTGATGAACTGTTATGGCTAGAATTGTTATCTCATTGTTCTGCTCAAACATAAAATATTTTAAGCCCCTCGGCGTGTTGGTCACATTCTATCACTAATGTTGTAAGGTCCAACAAACAATTAAATCTCAACATTATGACCTTTAATCCTCGTGTTGCGCTAAAAACCAGCGCTTCTATGTCTCAGTGGCCTATAATTGAATAAGAATATCATTTCTATCTGAAGCGAAATATTTGTCGATAGGCGGTGAATTAAATAAAGATAAAAAGTGAGTAAATGCACTAAATATTATTGCAATATAATATAATAATAAAGTTCAATAAAATAAAGTACAGCACACGCGACAGTAAAATGCTGCGGTCCACCTAGGGGGGGGGGGAGGGACTGGCGCGTTGACGTGCGTATGAAGCTAGAAGAACCTCTTAGCATCAATAGATTTGTGCCATATTCCGTTTAATGGTTTATAATTGTTTATTAAATGTTTATGAAGCAGCATCACCTGAACAGACCAGGTTAACTTCCGAAAATTTAACATTAAAATTATAAAATAAAGCTAAAATTCGCGTTTTTTGCAATTTTCACAGGCTTTGCGGTAACTTTAGATGTTGTTTGTATGGAAAATTCTTTGAAGGGGATTTAATTGGCAGCTGCCCAAGTAAAATATCAGTCGGATAGCGAATTTCCCAAAAAAGTTTTTATTCGGTTCATCCAAAATTATCCAATAAGGATTACACCTAAAATATTAATGCTACGCTTCCACGCTTCACAGTTACATCACCTTTATCCAATAAGGATTACACCTAAAATATTAATGCTACGCTTCCACGCTTCACAGTTACATCACCTCAAAAGTCCACGGTATCTGCTGCCAGCATTTAAGTATCTATTAGCGGCATTGCAGTCATTGCAAGGAGCCAGTCAGGGGGAGCCCGACTTTAGGAATGCCACTCTTGTAGCCCTGACATTTGCCACTCTTGTTGATCAACAGCAGTGAGGACAACAGCAGTGAGGACAACAGCAGTGAGGACAACAGCAGTGAGGACAACAGCAGTAAGGACAACAGCAGTGAGGACAACAGCAGTGAGGACAACAGCAGTGAGGACAACAGCAGTGAGGACAACAGCTTTAAGCACCGTGAAGGCGAGCTGCTCTAACGCCGCTTTACATCTGCGCAGCAGCACCTGAATATGCCCATTCAGCTGCAGCTGTACATGTGTACATCTGGCAGCATCACTGCAGCTGTACATGTGTACATCTGGCAGCATCACTGCAGCTGTACACAACAGAGCAGGTATAACTGCACATCAATGCAGGTTATGTCGCAATAAGGGTAAATAAATTTAAAAATGTTTTCGATGGCTCCTCCATCTAATGCGTCCACAAGCCTGCACCAGCATCATCATGCGGTGCATCATGATGGTTTGCAGGCTATAATTAAGTACAATATAATTTTTCGTTCTATTCTAAAATCTCAATTCATTTCCATAATCTTATCCTCGTCTCGGTATTAGTCGCGACTTTTTGCATTCGTGCACTATTATTATTTCGCAACGCGAAATAATTCATGCAGCACGAAATAATTTTTCATAAACCCACACACCGAGCCAAGGTTTGGCTCTGCGTATCATGAACATTGACTCAACCAATTAACGATTTAACACATTGACTCAACCAATTAACGATTTAACACATTTAGTCGACACAATTGCACTGAGTTGACACCAATAGTTGACACAATGGCACTGAGTTGACACCAATAGTTGACACAATGGCACTGAGTTGACACCAATAGTTGACACAATGGCACTGAGTTGACACCAATAGTTGACACAATGGCACTGAGTTGACACCAATAGTTGGCACAATTGCGCTGAGTTGACAGCAATAGTTGACACAATGGCACTGAGTTGACACCAATAGTTGACACACGGCCAATAATTCGGGACGGGCTAGGACAACTCCAGACAGTTGCCTCACGTTGACATAACGTCACTGGAGTTGACAGACGCACAACAAGTTGACACAGCGACTGTGATGTGACACAGTGACAGTGTGTCAGCTGATTGTTGCCATGGTGGCATAGGTGACGGGAGTGTGTCACACGGCGACGCTGCTGTGTCGGTGTGTCAATGGCAACTGACTGAGTCAAGGAGTGAGAGGCGCGGTGTGGTGTGGAGAGGGGAAGTAGAGAGGGAGAGAGGGGAAGAGAGGGAGAGGGAGAAGAGAGGGAAGAGAGGGAGAGTTGAGAGTAATAGGGTAGAAAGAGAGAGGGGAATGGAAGAGGGAGAGGAAGGTGAAAAGCAGACAGAATTGGAGTGTCAGGGGAGAGAGAGGAGTAGAGAGAAGGCGGGATAAGAGTGGGCAGAGGGGAATGGAGAGGGATAGGGGAGGCAGTGAGGAGGCAAGTGAATTAATTGAAGAGAGGGAGCAGAAGAGAGGGAGCAGAAGGGAGGGAGCAGAAGAGAGGGAGCAGAAGAGAGAGAGCAGAAGAGAGGGAGCAGAAGAGAGGGAGCAGAAGAGAGGGAGCAGAAGAGAGGGAGCAGAAGAGAGGGAGCAGAAGAGAGGGAGTTTACGATCATCATATTGACAGCTTACGATCATCACATTGACAGCTTACGATCATCACATTGACAGCTTACGATCATCAAATTTTTCAAATAAATTTTTCTGTTCATCAACAAGTCTGGAGTTCATCGAGGATATTCAAGCGGTGCTAAAAATTAAGAAACAAATAAAGAGATTCTATTCGCAGCTGCAACTGTACAATGCATAATGAATAAATTGCACCCACAGGCACTCCTTGGGTCCCAGCATGGGTAATACGTCCTGATTATAATATATATTAATAATCTACTTTAATTATTATAATCAATTATAATTATAGTGATACCGGGACTGTGACACGGGGACTGATGTGTGCTGGGACACACGAGCGTGACCAGCGTGACGTCACGAGCGTGACTAGCGTGACGTCACGAGCGTGACCAGCGTGACGTCACGAGCGTGACTATCGAAACGTCACGAGCGTGACTAGCGTGACGTCACGAGCGTGACTAGCGTGACGTCACGAGCGTGACTAGCGTGACGTCACGAGCGTGACCAGCGTGACGTCACGAGCGTGACTAGCATGACGTCACGAGCGTGACCAGCGTGACGTCACGTAACAGGTGGGGGTGGGGGGCAGGTGGGGGCAGGTGGGGAGTCCAGCCTCGCCCCGCAGGGGAAGGCATCGCAACTCCCAAATCGATCGCTCGATTCCCCCACTTCTTCCCCGAGCTCCCTAAACCCGCAACTCTCTCTCGTCCATTGATGGGCCGCCACTCCCCCCCACTCCCAACTGTCCCCACAGCCACCTGTCCCCACTCCCACCTTTCCCCAACATGTCCCTCAGTTCCCTCGACATCTGCAGGTGGGGATTGCATCAAAACTCACGTCACAACTGATCGCGAGTAGACGCTCGGCAATCTACTCAACATCACGCAGCTCGTAAGCACGAATGCTGCTGTCACGAACTACTCAACATCACGCAGCTCGTAAGCACGAATGCTGCCGCCACGAACTACTCAACATCACGCAGCTCGTAAGCACGAATGCTGCTGCCACGAACTACTCAACATCACGCAGCTCGTAAGCACGAATGCTGCCGCCACGAACTACTCAACATCACGCAGAAGCTTCCCCCTCACCTGGGGCGATGTGGTCCAGGCGAGGGGGGCTGTGGGGGTCGTCGCTGCCCCCCACCACGGAGAACCCAAACCTGCGGTCCGCAGGGCCCATGAACACCGACACCTTCTGTGGGGGGAGAGGGTTAGGTTATACGAAGGGCGTGAGTACAGCATGAAGGGCATGATGGTGAAACAAAGGGCGTGATGGCCAAACGAAGAGCGTGAGTACAGCATGAAGGGCGTGATGATGACACAAAGGGCGTGATGGCCAAACGAAGGGCGTGAGTACAGCATGAAGGGCGTGATGGTGACACAAAGGGCGTGATGGCCAAACGAAGGGCGTGAGTACAGCATGAAGGGCGTGATGGTGACACAAAGGGAGTGATGGCCAAACGAAGGGCATGAGTCAGCATGAAGGGCGTGATGGTGACACAAAGGGAGTGATGGCCAAACGAAGGGCGTGAGGGCCATACATAGTGGGTCAGGATGACGCAGGGGCGTTGATGCGATACAAAGGACATCCACTCGACGGCGCCCAGGAAGCGAGGCAGGCTATATCGGGATGAACCGCAGGTTGGACTTAACCTAAGCCTGCCGAGACATGTTTGCATGCGAACGAGTTCTGGTGTGAAGTTAACTGCGCAGCAGCGGACACTGAGAAAACTATTTACTACACCATCCGACGGCCCTCTAACGCCCCCCAGCATCGGACGGCCCTCTTACGCCCCCCAGCATCGGACGGCCCTCTTACGCCCCCCAGCATCGGACGGCCCTCTTACGCCCCCCAGCATCGGATGGCCCTCTTACGCCCCCCAGCATCGGACGGCCCTCTTCCGCACCCCAGCATCGGACGGCCCTCTTACGCCCCCCAGCATCGGACGGCCCTCTTACGCCCCCCAGCATCGGACGGCCCTCTTACGCCCCCCAGCATCGGACGGCCCTCTTACGCACCCAGCATCGGATGGCCCTCTTACGTCCCCCAGCACCGGACGGCCCTCTTACGTCCCCCAGCATCGGATGGCCCTCTCACGCACCCAGCATCGGATGGCCCTCTTACGCCCCCCAGCATCGGATGGCCCTCTTACGCACCCAGCATCGGAAGGCCCTCTTACGTCCCCCAGCATCGGACGGCCCTCTTACGCCCCACAGCATCCGACGGCCCTCTTACGTCCCCCAGCATCGGATGGCCCTCTTACGCCCCCCAGCATCGGATGGCCCTCTTACGTCCCCCAACCTCTTACGTCCCCCAGCATCGGACGGCCCTCTTACGCCCCACAGCATCCGACGGCCCTCTTACGCACCCCAGCATCGGATGGCCCTCTTACGCACCCAGCATCGGATGGCCCTCATATGCACCCAGCATCGGATGGCCCTCTTACGGTCCCCAGCATCGGATGGCCCTCTTACGGTCCCCAGCATCGGACGGCCCTCTTACGCCCCCAGCATCGGATGGCCCTCTTACGCACCCCAGCATCGGATGGCCCTCATACGCACCCAGCATCGGATGGCCCTCTTATGTCCCCCTGCATCGGATGGCCCTCTTACGCTCCCCAGCATCGGCCGGCCCTCTTACGCCCCAGCATCGGATGGCCCTCTTACGCCCCCCAGCATCGGATGGCCCTTTTACGCACCCAGCATCGGATGGCCCTCTTACGCCCCCAGCATCGGATGGCCCTCTTACGTCCCCCCAGCATCGGCCGGCCCTCTTACGCCCCCAGCATCGGATGGCCCTCTTACGCCCCCAGCATCGAATGGCCCTCTTACGTCCCCCAGCATCGGATGACCCTCTTACGCACCCAGCATCGGCCGGCCCTCTGACGTCCCCCAGCATCGGCCGGCCCTCTTACGCACCCAGCATCGGACGACCCTCTTACGCCCCCCAGCATCGGACGGCCCTCTTACGCCCCCCAGCATCGGACGGCCCTCTTACATCCCCCACCTTATGACCTTATGACCTTATGATGAGTTTAGGACGTCGCAGTCCAGGTCACGCTGATGCGCCGCCTTCGTCGTCCTCCGTCTCCGAGTCGTCGTCGGATGTAACGTTGGACGTGTTCCGTTTATTAGCCCTCATTTGGGCACGCTGATGCAAGATGCTGTTGCTTGTCGCTTGCTGATGGTAGTTTCCCATTACTGGACAGTCCGGGATCTTGCTCAACCACTTGTCCAGTTGTCTCTTGAATGTTGCAAGGGTAAACTCCCCTCCTCTCAGCGCTTTTGGCAAGGCATTAAAGAGTCTCGGTCCTACCACGGACAGTGATCCCTCACGAAGAGTCTGTACTCTGGCCGCGGCTCGGTTATTAAATGGGGGAATCCTGCACAGTCTCCCCCTTCTTTCGTTGTAATATGTCCTTATTTTGGAGGTCTCACTCTCAAAGTT